CATATCGCTCCTCCTGGATGGTCGCCAGCAGAGGCTCCAAGGAAACAGGGGTGCAGTCCGGTGGAGAGTCATCGGGTCTTATGAGCGTGAACTGGAGTGCAAAACATGACAGATGGTCATTGTCAACAAGGCCTCTGAGTACACAGGAAGGGAATATTACCCTCAGGCAGAACTGGAGAAACATCTAAAATAGTTACAGGAGACTGGACGCTGTGGTGACGCACACCTGTGATCCCAACACTTGGAAGGCTGAGGCAGGAGGATCTCTCTAAGTTTGAGGCCAGCCTGAGCTACAACACGAATAGGACTCCTGGTTGTACTGAGGCACACTGGTCCTTACCCAGTGGTCTGTGATGTTAACTGAATTTCTGATAGTGATAGCAGTTTAAAAAAAGTTTGGAAAATATTGTTGAAGGGACTAATTTGGACAAGATTTAGGATTCATCTTTAACATTAATTAGTGGAGGCTAGTTACAAATATTGCGAGAGAACACTTAATTGGTGGCTATTTTGACACAAGAAGAATAATTTGCTTGCTGCTCCACTAAGGTGGGTGAGGGGCAGTGGTACGGGGATCCTTGAGAAGAACAGAAAGGGCAGGAAAGGGTGGGCCTTGGAGGGCTGTGTGGAGGAGTGGAGCAGAGCGGGTGGGGGCAGGGCGGGCCTGAGGAGGGAAGCCAGGAGATTAGGAGGTGTTTCCCCCGCTCCTAAAACACATTCGGGAAAAATACCCTGGGATGAGAGTGACTCAAAACTCACCTCAGATGAATGCTTTTCTTTTCAAAAGCACCATCTTTAGTAATTTTGTTTCATTTAGTGTTAGCCCTCAGCACTCCAGGAGACTGGCAGGTTTCTTTCTAACTATGGAAACACAGAATGCCTTTCTGGGCCGATGACAAATAAGTTGTGAGGGTGGTCCGAGGGTCTTGGGGTTCTAGGCTCCCATTCTGCTCCTTCGTGTGCCCCATTCCCAAGAGTATTCACTGTTTCAGAGCTGTTTCCCCCTTTGCACCCAGACCCTAGATTTAATCTCAGAACAGAGGTAACACCAGCATCTTTCCTGACAGCCAGGGCTTTTGGAGTCACCATTCTGTTTGTCTACCTCACCTCTCTCCACAATGTGTGGCCTCACAATGGGCGTGGGGACGCATCAGAGGTCGGGGACAAAGACCTTCACTTGGAACCTCAGAGCCCATGAGGCTGGATCCAGTGAGTACAGAACCGGCCACCCCCGAGCTGGGCCTTCCAGATGTGGGGCACGACAGGGCTGGGTGCTCAGTGGCAAAGGACAGGTGCATGCAGGTGCGAGAGGGAGGCCGGAGACCTGCTTAGCGGGCCCTTGGTTGTGAGAGGGCAGGGCCTTGAACCTGACTTCCCCGGGTCAGGAAGGCAGAGGTGGTGGCACAGCGGGTTTTGGGTGGAGGGGGCCCAGGACCCTCACTCTTGGGAGTCAGCATGTTCGGACGGCAAGGACGATGTCTTCTGCTCACCGTCCTGAGGCTCTGCTCATTGGCAATGCTGCTTCTCAGGTCCCTCCTGATGGCCGGACACACGGGTGTCTGGGAGCCTGCACAGTGCTTCTCGTAGGTTCTCAGGAACTTTTGAAGGCTCAGGACGACGGGTGGGGGAGTCCCTTTAGCTTTTCCTTTTCTTTCCTTTACTCTTGGCATTGTTTTAGGATGTCAGATTCCAAAAATAGTGACTGGACCTGAAACTCAACACATAGATGCCTTTTTAAGGCACAGAGCTTGCTCTCCTTTCTTTGAAAAACTTAAAGTGCTTCATTTATGTTCATGGGACAAGTCAGGATGAAGACAGGTAAACTGGGCATGGTGCCTGGACTCCCAGCAGCCGAGACGCTGCGGAGGAGAATCACACGGTCTAGCTCAGTCTGGGCAACTTAGCAATTTAGGAAGACCCTGTCTCTTCGGTGTCTCAGAGTAAAAAGGAAAACATTTAAAAAGGGTGGTGATGTGGTCCAGTGAGAAAGCCCTGGGTTCAGTTCTCTGGTCAAAGAAATAAAAAGGGTAAAGGATTTGTTCAACCCAATTCCACAAAATTGTGGGAAATGTTTCCTTTAGAATCTTTATAATGGGATAATACCTGTGGACACAGTTCTTTTTTGTTTTTGTTTTTGTTTTTGTTTTTGTTTTTGTTTTTGTAGCTGGCTTAGCCCACCATGGGGGTGGGGCTGGCGTGGCTTGTGGTGCCCAAGATTGAACCGTGGTCCTTGCACTTGCTTGAATTTGCTTAAGCAGGTGCTTTAGTCTGGAGGCACAGTTTTATTTTTATTTTTAAATTTTTTTAATTATTTAAAAATAATTTTGTTGAGAAAAAAATAGCAATGAGAAAGTTTCAAAACCGATTACTAGCACAGTTTTAATAATTAATGCATTGCATATTGTTGTGTTAGTGGTTATTCATTATACAAGATGCAGACATGATATCCTGTCCACAAATACTATTAGAAAAAATCCCTCTATTCATTGAGTTAAGAGAATGCAGCTGTATATCTATCCTATTTTGAATATACAGATACAAAATGGTCATTCATTTGTATCCCCCTTTTTCATTTAGTTTTGTCAGAGAAGGGTATTCCATTGTCATTTAAATATTGTAGGTGCATGAATTCAGCAAAATATTCCAATATAGTCCAGGAGTCCATAATAGTAGTGGGTTATCCATAGGACTGGCAATGTCAGAAATTGTTAATTTGAGTCTTTTACAACTCAGCATATTAATATAGCTTTACTCTTTATACTTCATTTTTATACTTTTCTGCTGGATGTTAAGACCAAGATAAAGCAAGACCTATTATAGCAAGAAATGTAACTTTTGTGTCTGACAAGATCAGTCAAATCCCCTCAGGATTTATTGATTAACATTAAAACTTGGTATTCAACATTACTGGGAAAAATAGCCAACAACAACAAAAAACCACTACTGGGGACACACTGATTTAAACATGGCATCATTCTCTTCACTGGTACAATTCTTGCCAGGCAGCAGGTATCATAGGGCAGAGATGTGGGCAACAGATGTGGCTTTTAGTCTTTTCTCTGTCACTACTTAGTGGGTTGGTCTTAGGTAAGTTGTGAAGCCATATCTTTACATAAACATAGAGAGCCCTTCCTGGTCCTCATCACAGCCCAGGTAGTTTATATTTGCAATCTCATGAAAAAATTATTGGAATTCTAGCGAGTTGATACCAATCTACCACCTTCAGTGTAACCCATGATGAGAATACAGACACGAGGGCATATCTGTAATAAGGTGGAGCCAAAGAGTCCTAAATCCAGCCATGATGATGCCTATCTGGACCAAAGGCCTCCACCCAGGCCCAAATCTGGGTTTTATTGATTCATGAAGAAGGGAATGGCTTGAGGATGAGTGACTGAGAGAATGGCAGGAAGGAAGTGAGTGAGTGCTGTGAGCTGGACCTGGTAGGAGGCCCAACATCACCTTTGCAATATGCAAGGAGAAGGGTGTGCAGAAAGAGTAATCTGCAGAACACGATTGAGAGTGTATCTAATGTTTTGGGGTTGGTGCTTCAGCTCTGATGTGTAATCTTTTAAAGCCTGGAAATTCATAGCCCTTGTCCGAGGCTCAATCCCCAGCTCAATCTGAGCCAATTGTGTGGAGCACTGGCTCTTCATCCTCCTCACATATGGGAGCAACAGGGGGTCTGGGGAAACAGTGCCTGTCATCTTTGCTTCAAAGACTACCCATCAGCACCTGGGCCGGACCAATATGCCTTGCTTAAAGACACCGAAGGACTAAGGAAAAGTCCTGGTCAGCTCCTACATATCAACACATGGAAATAGCATCAGGCTTAGCCAACACAGACACAATTGCTGCTTCTTCACAGAGAGCTGCCCAGGTGGTCCTCCACACAAACACTTTGCCACAAACGCTCTGCACAATTCTTGGCACATAATGGAAGTGCACAATAAACTTTATATTGATATTATTACTATTATTCTGCTAGCCACAGAAAGTCACCCAAGTAGTACTGATTTGACCTCTTGAAATAGCCAATGCTAAAATGGGTATGAGGGGATCGTGAGCTCTCTGAACTGACTTCACAGAGACCAAGGCTTATGGAAATTCTAGTTTTCCCATGTAGAAAATTTCCAGCTAGAGACTCTCCAGGAATGTTTTTCTTCTTCCATCAAAAAAGGCTGTTCTTTTTGAGTTTGAGCACTGGAAGGAGACAGGTTGAGGAAAGCCAACAGTAAAACAAGAGGCTGGGAAGATAGCTCAGCAGCATAAGCACTTGCCTGGCAAGCGCAAGGTCCTGAAAAAAATATATATACATATATTATATATATTATATAATATATGTATATATTCAGTAATATGTTATATATGCATATATATAGAGATAGATAGATAGATAGATATAGAGAGATATATATCTATATATATAGTAAAAGGAGCCTGGCTAGTTGGGTGCGATGTTACACACCTGTAATTCCAGCTCTCAGGAGGCTGAGGCAACAGGATTGCTTTGAGTTGAAGCCCCCCTGGGCTACATAGCAAGATTATGCCTAGATAGATATCTAGACAGATAGACAGATAGGATCCTGGCTTTGTAAACTCACTTTTCCCACCTACATGGCTGCAACATATAGCCTCTTTTCCCTTTCTTTACCCAGTAGACAGTAATGTTTTTGAACTATAAATCAGCTCATATGACTCTTGTGGTTAAATCTCTCCAAAGCTTCCTGATGCATTTATCTTTATTGAATTTGATATGTCATTAAGAGGCTGACATAAATGACATAAATGATATGTCATTATCAGTCATTAAGAGATGTATATGAATATGAATTTATCTACCTTTGTTCATTCTGCCAATTTTGCTTTATATATTTTGAAGCTATATTATTAGGTGCCCATAATTTACAAATGAAAATTTTCCTGGGAGATCCACTCTTTTGTTATTATTTAATATAGTGGATCCTGACTTGAGAACTCAATTCATTCAGAATGACTGCTTGTAACTCAAGTTGATTGTAAGTTAAGATGATTTTTCTCAATAGAAATACTGGAAATAACCATGTTGTATTCCAAACTTCCCAAAACACTCCTTAACTAATCTTTTCATAATAAAAAAGGGCTGTATAGTGTGTATTTTATCAGAAGTGCTCCTAATTTTCCTAGCGTACTCACCAAAAAGTTATTAAAAAGTGTTTAATTTACCAGAAACAACAATTTCATATTCTACTAACCATTCAAGTTGATACCTTTGGCTCGCAGGGAGGGACGATGCATCGGAAGGTGGTTACTTGGAAGGTGAGTCCTCTTCCATAAGAGTATCGGGAATCAGAGCTCAGATGATGCTTATGTACACTGACCTACGCTTTTCTGGCATTGAGATCTTTGTTTACATCCATACAAGAGGCTAGCACAGGTCATAACTCAAGACTCTGGTCATAAGTTAAACCTCAAATTCCTATTATAACCCAAGTTCTTTGTATGCGAGGCTGGTCATAACTCAAAGGTCCATGGATCCCTTTTTATTTCTAGCAATGCCTGTGACTTGCAACTACAGGTCCCAAACTGTGCAATACACTCCGGAGAAATAGGCACTGCCACAAACTTACAGGACACTGTGGAATGTTTTAAATTTTTAAGAGAAAGCTAACAACATCTGTTAGGCACCATGTAAACTACAGCCAAATGTACTTCACAATTTCAAATTAGACCACTTATGTATTAGCATCCTATTGTTGCTGCATAACAAATTATCTTATGAATGAAAAACATCCTGAAGAGTGAGTAGATCTACAAGAATGTAGTGACACTGAGGAACCAGGGTGTTTATGGTTTGTGTCTAGTTGTCCCCGCAAAGCCTCATGTAAATTATGGGGCAGACTGGGCTGGAGGAACAAGTGGTTGGAGGGGCGGGGCCAGAGAGGGAACTGTTAAACTGGCTAGCCTGTGCTTTCTGGGAGAGGTGAAGAGGGTCATCCTGGACACAGCAGTGCCTCAGCCTTTCCTCCAGTGTCTTGAAACTTCCAGTAACTGTGAGCTAAATAAACCTGTCCTTCTCTAAGCTTGAGTGTTGGGTATTTGTCCCAACAATGAGAAAAAAGTAAGACACAGGGTTAGGGAAAAATCACAATATTACAGCTCTAATTGGGATCAAAGAGTATTGGCCAAACCAGGAGGGGTTCACTCTGCCTCTCCTGCACTCATGCCGTCAACCAAGTTTAGCCTCAAACTTCTATGCGTCAGGCAGCAGCTGCAGAGCAGCCAGACAGGATAGCTACCTGAGACCTCGTTCCCATCTCGGGCCTGGTAAGCCTTTTTAAAATATATTTATTTATCTATGTTCTTAGAGACTCACCATGTAGTTTGAGCTGGTCTTAAATTCACTATATGGTCCAGGCTGGCTTCAAACTCATGGCAAAGCTCCTGATTCAGATTACAGGTGCATGCTGTCACACCCGGCTTTAATTTTTATTTTTACTAGTGCCTAATTGCATTCATTGTGGGTAGCTGGTACATGTGGATAGCACATCTTAATTCTTTTTTCATCCCATTTCTTTCCTTTCCCTCCATCTCTTTTTTTTTCTTCCCTCCATCTCTTGGTTCTCTTTCCTTTTGCAAATGATCTATCTCCCTGTTTCCTGTCTTGTATCTTTTATTTGCTCTTTCATGTAACTATAGTTTGGGTTTCTCATCTATGAGAAACTCATGTGATAAACTTGTGGGTCTGATTTAGTGAGGCCCAGAAAGAGAAAGGACTAGGTCCCAGCTGAGAGCAGAATTAGGTCTCCTGACTTCTAAGGCTTTTGCTTTTCTTCAGTGCAGGGGACAGAACCCAGGCTTCACACATGGCTCTACCCAGCTGATTCTTATTAATTGGCAATTGGTGAACACTGGCATGCACCATGGATGGCACCAGGTGGTGGCGAGGCATCTGGGCTTTGGGTCAGAAGGAACTGCTTGAATCCTGTGTGGACTGCTAGTTAAGATGGTGGCGGACAACCAGCCTCACTTCTCTAACCCCTTGTCCTTTATCTGAAAACGTGGGGACAACGCTTCTCTGTGCCTGTGAGAGGCTGCTATGGAATGAAGTCCAGCCTGCTAGCATCTCAGACTTCTGGCCTTCAGAACTGTGAGAGATAAACTTCTGTTCTTTACACTAGCTGGTCACTGATATTTTGATACTCCGGCCCAACAAAATTTGACCAGCTATGTATTAGAATCCTATTGCTACGGGGAATTATTGCAGTTTTCCACCTGGAAAATTTCCAGCCAGAGACTGTCCAAAATGTTTATTACGTTACATCCAAACGGGCTCTTTTGGGGGATCTATGCCCGGTAGAACATCCCTTTCTTTAACCGGGAAGAGACAACATCAGAAAAAAAGAAAACATTAAAAAAAGAAAAAGCAAATGTCAAAAGGAAACTGGATTTGACAAATAGAAATATACATACTACTGCTTACAGTAGTATGAAGGAGCATTTCCCGCCAGCCTTCTGTGAGTATTTACAAATGTGCAAACTACATACAGAGATGCAGGAAGTGCTCTATTACGAGAAGACATTACCCCAATACTTTCATGTCATTTCTGCCAGACACAGGTGCTCCAAGCCAGCACTGGTGGGTTGGATCCTAAGTGAATGTTACCGAGGTGAAGGCGTGGCACTCAGGGGGCTGGGCTGTACTCCTCTCACAAGGGACACCTGTGTCCTTCCCCAGGGTCGTAGAGACCGAGGGGTGGGGAGGCGGGCAGGCCCTGCGGTCTGTCCCAAGGAGAGGAAAAGCCCGCCTCTGAATCCCCTGCTCGCCCCGTGGACAGCTCCCGGCTCCGCCCAGGGTTCCCGGGGACCGGAGAAGGCAGAGAAGGGCCGCTCTCCACTGTCTGCGAGGTTTCCAAGGCACACAGCGACTTTAATACACTTCCGAAAAACTCCCAGCTACTCACCTGCAGGCCGGGCCACCCAGCTGCGGTGCACTGTCCTGCCTCGGCCCCTGGAAAGGAGAGAGACGGTCTCGGGAGGGAGCCGGAGGCGCCGCCCCAGCCTAGCGTTTTAACCTGGCTGCTTCCCGCGTCGTCGGGCGCCATGGAGACGGCAGTGCTGGGCGGTCCAGGGTGGGGGAAACTGCGGGCTGCGAGAGCCGGACGCGCGCAGGGAAACCCGGTGTCCTCCCTGCGGGACGAGGGCAGCGAGGAGCGCTCCTGGCAGGAGACCGAGGTCAGGGGAGAAGGAGGATCCATATCGGCGCACAGCACCAGGCCCAGGGTGCAGCACCCAGCACCAGCACCCAGCACCGCACCAGGGCGCCCCAGAACCGGGTAGCAGCAAAAGGCACTTCCAACCGCGGCCCCAGGCCCTGGCTCGCTGCTAGCTGCACTGCTGGTCCCCGCTCGGGGGCGGGGACTGTGAAGGGTGTTTTGGGAGCGCTGGGGAAAAAGGTGCCAGACAGCTGAAGTTTTTGGAGGTAGGTAGTGGGACAGTTAAAAAAGGATTTAGGGCCGAGTGTTGTGGAGTGGGCCTGTGATCACAGCAGTCTGGAAAGCTGAAGCCCAGCCTGGGCCTCTTAGCCCTTTTCTTAAAATTTAAAATAAAATGGGCTGGGGATGCAGCTCAGTGAGAAGGTACTGGGTTTAACCCCAAGTTCTAAGGGAGCGAAGGAAAGGGTTTTAAGGGGTTTTGCGCTGGCCAGTGGCTTTGGGGCATTTAGCTGAAAGAGTAGGTGGGTGTAGTAGAATAGTGCATGTAGTGGAAGTTGTGCTCTAATGTCTGGGAATTCTGGTATTTCGTTGCCTTATGCAGAAAAAAACACTGTAAATGGTTGAAGTTCCACTGTCTTGAGGAAGGCATGAGCTGAAGACCTGGAGTTGGGATCCCTTAAGCTGTGCTAGGAAGGCTGAGAGGAGGCTGGTGAAAGGAGGCCAGAGAGCGCCCTGATGGGCACCTTGATTTGAGTCTAGCGACTCTATGAGGGATTTCTGGCCTCTAATTCATTATCTCTCTGTATCTCAGGAAACAGAAGCTCTTAATGAATACTTGTTTAGTGAAAGCAATGAATTCAAGTTAATTATAGTAAAAAAAATAATAATAATAACCTAACAGGGTAAACTGCAAATGAAAAGCAGGCCCTTACATCTTGCAGGGTTGGTTTTAGTTACTTCTTTTTTTCCTTTTTAGTAACAGGGACTGAACTGAGGACCTTCTGCTTGCCAGGCACTTGTGTTACTGAGCTATATCCCAAGCCCTGGCTCTGGTTTTCATGTTTTAAATTACAATGGCTCTCCCGGGAAGTGCTTTTGACTACAGTAAAGTGAAGAGGTAAGGAGGTTCCAGGAAGGCACCACAGCTTCTGAATTTGGACCCACTGAGTCACCCTGAGCGCCCTGCGAGTGCCCTGGGTTGCTTCGGCCTCCTCCCTTGCTGGGCAGGACCTGTAGCTCTCCCCACAGGGTTTGTGTATCAAACTTCATTAGTTCAGCTTTCCTGAGACAAGGCCAGAGGAGCACCGTGAGGGAGGCAAACTCAGAAAGGGCTGAGAAGAGCTGGCATGGTGGTGTACCCCTGTGACCCCGGTGCTCTAGGAGGCTGAAGCAGGAAGGTCACAAGTTCAACAGGGCCTGGGCAAGATAGTGACAAAGCAAGAACTTATCTCAGGAAAAAAAAAGATGGGGTGTAGCTTAGTGTGAAGGCTCTGGATTCAGTCCGTGGTATGGCAAAACAAACAATACAAAACAAAAAACTGGTACCCAGAGTCCAAGGGGACAGAGACAGAAGGTCTTATTCATGAATTAATCCAGTTAATTAGAATATTCAAGTTCAGGTTATTATTTGTGGTGATGGGGATCAAACCCAGGACCTCAGCACAGCAGGCAAGTACTCTACACCTAAGCCACACTCCCAGCTTCAAATTCAAATTGGTAAATCAAATTAATTTTTCTCCTCCACAACCCTTCTTTTTGCTGTTCCAGGCCTTTAAAAGCCTTGATTTAAAAAAAAAAAAAAAATCCTTAAATTCTCTGTTTGAAAAACCTGGAATGTTCTCTGTCATGAAAGCATAAGTGTTATTTTAGTTTTGATATAAGAAAACTTCTTACATTTAATTTTGTCTTTGTTTACATTTGAGATGGGTGTTGTGGTACGCATCAGTGATCCCAGCACCCTGGTAGCCCTGGGCTGCCAAATCACAAGTTCGAGCCCAGGTGGGGTAATTTAGTGACTTAGACCCCATCTCAATATTTTAAAAAGGCTGAGTTGCAGCAGCTCTGTGAATGCTCTGGGTTCAGTCTCTAGTACCTTAAACACACAAATCTGTGAAGATGGCTTCAGTAGCAGATCATTTTGACTTTGTCCGCTTTCCGTTCTATTTTTTAAAAAACCGCCGGGGTCAAATCGGATCTTTAAGATACTCTCTGGGTGGGCGCACACAGTGCCTGCAGTCTGGCTCAGAGGGCTGCTCCTGCGGGGCCTGCTGTGGCCTGTGGCCTCTGGTCCCCCACCTCCAGGTTCCTGCAAGCTTCACACTTCCGCTTCCTTTAGCTGAGGATGTGACTGCTCCCAGGGAGGTTGCTGCCCGCTCTTGCCCGAGGCTGCCTCTGCTTTGGAAACCTGCTCCTAGCTTCAGTGTCCTCTTCTGTCCCGGGTGGGATGCCACTGGCCAACCAAGTCCAGTCACACAGCAGCTGCACTCCAGAAGAGAGGTAAACACACAGAGACTGTGAGACAGTAGAATTTGCCTACAAAATTAGCAGTGAGTTTTGAAGAATGCTACCTCAGTGACTCAGCCTTGCGGAGGCATGGAGGCTGATGTGAGTGGCAATCTAAGCTTCTGGGGTGAATTGCTCTATTTATACCAGTAATATAGATCTAGAAATTCCATGCCTGGGATTCTACTACTCTAGGGAATAGTTTAAAGTGTAGGAGCTAGAATGTGTTCAGCTGCCATGGGTAGAAATTTCAACTAAGACTGTCACAGTCAGACACTTTTTGCCCACACAAGTATGATAGTGAGAAATTCCAGAATTGGTTGGGAACTGATATCATGAACCTGATGCTAGCTTGTCCCATCCTGACACCCTCTACCTAAGGAAGTGCGGGAGTCTTGTCTCCCCTCATGGTGGCATCATCAGCTGCTGAAATATAGAGCATCCTGTCCTCACATGACAATGCCCAGCCGGGACAGGATGGCCCCTCCCTTCAGGAGACTCCCCCACTCATTTCTGTGCTTAAGATGGACACATGCATGGCCCGGACATACTGACAAGAGAGTGAGACAGCCTTGGTGGGCTCAGGCCCTTGGGGCTCCTTAGTGCTTGGCTGCCTGAATAGCACTGGGGTTTTATTCTAAAGCAATCAGTGGGAGTGGTTTTGGTAGATGGCCAATAGTGTCTGCCATGGGAAACCAGAGTTTTCTACTGTTAGGAAAAAGTAAAAGCGACAGAGGTATGAGCTCACCAGATGGTTTACTTTAGGAACTGCTCTAGCACTAGAGACCCAACAGGCCACTCTCCCATAGGCCAGAAGGTCCTTTGCAGTGGTCCTAGGGGGGTCTGGGGGCATCTGTGAAAAGGAGTTGTGGTTTCCCGTTAGGGACAAAGCTTAAGCAGGCACAGGGGTTGTCAAGGGTAGAGCTCAGTCATGACGGGCATTACGGGTTGTAGCCATGGTCACCGGGCTTATTGACCCACACTTGTTCATTTCTAGCAAGTACACAGGCATGGGGTGGGAAAGAGGTTCAGTGTAATCTCTGTTCATCTCAGAATGGCAGAGGTCAGATGTGTTCACATGCAAAGATATTTGAAGTAGTGCTATTCTGTAAGTATAAAGAAATGGAAATGATGTGGTTAAGAAATTGTACGTTTATTTGGATTTATTATACAAGGAGTAGAATCTGCCTTCCAGCCTCATCGGCCAGACTCCAAACCCACATGCTCAGCTGCCACCTCTTTCCTGGCAACAACAGAAGGAAGGCAATAGGAAGGATTCCAGAACTTGTGTTGCTTCCATAGAGAAAACAAAAGTGACCAGGCGCAGACTTCAAGGACTGTGGTCTCACAGGGACTCTTCACATCCTGCTCCCAGTTTTCACTTTTTTTTTTTCTCTTTAGGTCCTAGGACTGAGCCCAGCCCCTCATGTCTGAGCACACCAAACACAGGCTCTACCCTGAGTGACATCCCTGTGTCCACTGTCACTTTAGACTGGTAGATCCTAAAGAGGTTCTTTGCCTGATTCTTGCTCAGCCCCAAATAGCTCAGTCCCATTGCAGTAATATAGTTTTCTAATAATAATGGATGGTAGTTTTAAAATTAAAGGGATTCTTCTTGTAGGCTTTTGGCTCAGGCTCTCCACCCTGCTGTTACCACAGTCCGTGACAAAGGGACTGATGGGCGTGTGGCAGGCTGCGGACACACTGTTCAGTTACATTTCTTAGGTCACCTAACTTTTCTAGAACAATGTGTTCCCACTCACCCACCCAACCCTCTCTTAGTTTTTTCATCAGACAATAAGGGAAGATGTAGAGGGAAAGGGCTTTAAATTAGTCATTTTGATAATTAATAGGTATGGCTAAAGTTTCAAGGGAGAGAAAAACGATTAGTTCCTTGGGCATTGTAATGTGGTTAGATGTAAAGTAACTAAATTTTATTTTATTTATTTTTGTAACTAAATTTTAGATCTCAAAAAAAATTTTAGATCTCAAAATTCAAAATTCCTCCCTCAAAACTATGTGTGTGTTGCTGCGTGTGGTGACACACACCTATAATCCCAGCACTTGAAGGCTGAGGCAGGAGGACTTCCACAAGTTCGATGACTATATAGTGAGTTCAAGTCCAGCTTGAACTACACAGTGAGACCCTGTCTCAAAGGAAAAATAAAAACTATGCATGTGTTTACTCAGAATAACCACAACATTTTTCTTGGGCTTTACAACTGCCTTCCTAGGCTTACTCTGTTTGCTTTGCAGGAAGAGCTCATGCTGCCTGGTCCTGCAGTCCAACCAACTGGGCCACATTGCTGTCCGGGACCTGTCTAAGACCCC